TGGGCCCTGCTCTGTCCCAGCTCTGCCTCTGCTTCTATTGGTGGACTTCAGCTGGCTGCACCCTGTGGGAACAGTTTCACCTGAAACCCCAGGCCCCTAGTGCCAGACCGAGGGTGGGAGAAGCACCTTTTTACCCTGAGTTTTCTCTAACCTGCCTTTTCCATGAGTGATTGATACCTGGAATTTCCACATCCTTTTAAGACAGACTGTTAAAATCTGTAGGTTAAATAACTGGACACAGTGACACACACCTATAGTCACAGCTACTTGGGAGTCTGAGGTGGGAGGATCAGTTGAGCCAGAAGTTCGAGGCTGCAGCCTGCTGTGATCACACCTGAGAATAGCACTGCACTCCAGCGTGGGCAATATAGTGAGACCCTGTATTTAAACTAAACAACCAAAAAAACTTCTGGGCTAAACATATCTGCATCTGTCACAGTAACACCAACACAGAAGATAAACACAGACCACTGTGGTGGCGTGGTTCATCTCATTACATGCTGCTACATGATTAAAAGTGATTGGCATGGTTTTCTGTTTTGTGTAGACTTACGGCCTGTACATTCTTTCTACAAAGATTTTTCCCATGGGATTCCCCCCCCCATTTACCCAAGAATTCATTCATAATAAACAGTTGTTGAATCCAGATAAAATATATATCAGTGTCTTCCCAGTTGCCTATGAATTTCTTGCCAAGATGTGATACAGTAGCTCAAAGAATGCTTGCCATGTCACTAATAGTCTTCGCTCTGTCTAGTTCAGTGACTTTCCGACACTGTAACATTCAGGGCACTGTGTGAGTTTGTAAATGTGACCATACTGCAAGCTTTTTATGGTGACCTGGTCCAGTACTGCCTTTGTTAAAGCATCTGTCGTCAGTAAGAGATGATAAACTTTTTTTTTTTTTTTTTTTTTGAGACAGAGTCTCGCTCTGTCGCCCAGGCTGGAGTGCGGTGGCCGGATCTCAGCTCACTGCAAGCTCCGCCTCCCGGGTTCACGCCATTCTCCTGCCTCAGCCTCCCGAGTAGCTGGGACTACAGGCGCCCGCCACCTCGCCCGGCTAGTTTTTTGTATTTTTTAGTAGAGACGGGGTTTCACCGTGTTAGCCAGGATGGTCTCGATCTCCTGACCTCGTGATCCGCCCGTCTCGGCCTCCCAAAGTGCTGGGATTACAGGCGTGAGCCACCGCGCCCGGCCGAGATGATAAACTTTTTGCACAACAGTGAAAACCCTACCTTTAAGCATATGATTATGCTTAATATTTTATTAAAAGAATTAAAGACCTAAAGGGGAAGAAGTTAGACTGTTCTAGTTCTGGTACTGTTGAGGCACTGACAAGGATAAACGATCATGCAGAGGTCTCTTCATAATTGACCCCAATGGAGTCATCAAGCACTTGAGCGTCAATGATCTCCCAGTGGGCCGAAGCGTGGAAGAAACCCTCCGCTTGGTGAAGGCGTTCCAGTATGTAGAAACCCATGGAGAAGTCTGCCCAGCGGACTGGACACCGGATTCTCCTACGGTAGGTTTTTTCCCCCAAAAGCAGTGAGGTCCATGTTCTCTCAGCCTCGAGAGCTATTGACCTGAAGTATGCACAAAAGGGAGCCCACCCTTGGAGCAAGGGTGCAGATGATGTGCAAATGGGTGAAGCTGCTGTGGGGTAGAGGGGGTGGGGTGGGGAGCCAGGAACCAATTATCAGAGACAAGCAGACTTTTTTTTTTTGAGACAGAGTCTTGCTCTGTCGCCCAGGCTGGAGGGCAGTGGCACGATCTCGGTTCACTGCAAGCTCCGCCTCCTGGGTACATGCCATTCTCCTGCCTCAGCCTCCTGAGTAGCTGGGACTACAGGCGCCTGCCACCACGCCCGGCTCATTTTTTGTATTTTACTAGAGACGGGGTTTCACTGTGTTAGCCAGGATGGTCTCGATCTCCTGACCTCGTGATCCACCTGCCTCAGCCTCCCAAAGTGCTGGGATTACAGGTGTGAGCAACCGCACCTGGCCTAGAGACAGGCAGGCCTTAATGAAACTTTGATCTTTGTGTTTTAAAGGAAATCTTTAAAAGTTTAAAGAACTTTAGGTTAAAAATTGGGGGATTGCCATTCAGTTTTGGGCATATTTACCATATTATTATGGTAAAGTCACAATTACCTAATTAAGCTTTTGTATTTTCAGATCAAGCCAAATCCAGCTGCTTCCAAAGAGTACTTTCAGAAGGTAAATCAGTAGATCGCCCATGTGTATCTGCACCTTCTCACCCCAGAGAAGAACCACAGTTGAAACCTGCTTTTATCATTTTAAAGATGGTTATTTGTAGAAGGCAAGGAACCAATTATGCTTGTATTCATAAATATTACTCTAAATGTTTTGTTTTTGTAATTCTGGCTAAGACCTTTTAAACATGATAGTTGCTAGTACAAGGAATCCTTTATTGGTAACGTCTTGGTGGCTAGCTAGCTAGTTTCTACAGAACATAATTTGCCTATATCGAAAGCGATTCTTAGATCATGTCTTCAGTGGAAACAGTCTTCTGTCTTAGCCTTACTTGAATCTTGCCTATAACAAAGTAGAGCAACATGCATTGAAAGCGTCTGATCAAGGGTCCTGAAATTTTCAATTTGAATGTCTTTGTATTAAACTGAATTTTCTTTTAAGCTAACAAAGATCACTATTTTCAATTAGCCGTCTAACTCTTGCAATGAATGTTTATGTGATTGAAGCAAATGTGAATCATATTATTTTTAAAAGTGGCAGAGTGACTTAACTGATCATGCATGATCCCTCATCCCTGAAATTGATAGTTTATGTAGTCATTCTACTTATTTTATTCACTAGCTAACTTTGTCTATGTATATTTCTAGATATTGATTAGTGTAATTGATTATAAAGGATATTTATTAACTTCAGGGATTGCATTTTGAAATTACAATTATTTTCTTTGCTGAAGTATTCATTGTAAAACATAAAATAAACATATTTTAAAATATTTGCATTTTACCACCATTAACTGTTGGATCAGCTTATTCTGGGCTCTCCTTTCCTTCTCAGATTACATCAACAAACATTTATTGAGCATTTACCTCAGGGGCCACAAAGAGAATAAGATGCTGGTTCCACACTCAAGGAACTCGGTTTAGGGGCAAGACAGATAGGGAAACATTTACTCATTGTTTCAGTAAATCCTTGAGTGCCTACCCTGCACCAGGTGCTGTTTTCCAGGCACAGGAGGGAACAAAGAACAAACCCCTGCTTTTAAGCTCTTACGTTCTACAGGGGAAACACAATACATGTAGTAAAAGTAGAGTGTTTGGAAGGAAAATAATGTGGAGTGAAGCTCTGCTGAAGCAGAGTTGTAGGTGTTCTAGATGGAGTTGTTAAGGAAGGCCTTAAGGGAGAGCCTGTCTCTGGGTCAATTTTCTGATCCGTAAAATGAGGACCATAATTGTACCTATCTCGGGGTTTTGATGAGCCTCAAGGGAGAGAAAACGTGTAGGAAGTGAGAGTGTTCCTGGGATAAGAGGCTTCTAGGTAGAGGGCATGGAAAACACAAAGGCCCTAAGGCAAGAGTGGACTCAGAGTGGATGCAGATTTACTAGGATGCCGGTGACTAGGGCGGTGGTGGGGGTCCCAGAGTGCCTTTTGGCCAAGCCAAGGACTTGAGGTTCTGTTCTGGGGTGGGGAATGTCAGGAAGGATTTGAAAAGAAGCGTGACATCAACTTGTAAGATAATCACTCTGGCTCCTTTGTTAAAGACTGGACATAGCGGTCCAAAGTGGGGAAGCAGGCCAGCGGGCTGGCTTTGTGACATCCTGGAGGGTAGAGACAACAGAATAGAACAGCACGCTACTGCTGCACCGGTGCTTAGATGGATTTCTGCGGCATAAGGGTAGAAGTGGAGGGGACACCTTACTCAACTGGGAGGGTCAGGGAAGGCTTCCTGGAAGAGGAGGAACCCTTGGAGGTTAAGAAAAGTGAGCGAGGCAAACTGAGCAAATATAGAAGCAGAGTCACACAGGCCTGAAGGACAACATGAGCCGATTTCCTGTCCCAGGAGGGGCAGGGCAAGGGAAGGAATTGGCCCGCTGGAGGTTAATGGCCAATACTGAGCACTTGTGAGAGCTCAGTGCTGTGTTAGGGGTATTTTATTTCCTTTGATCCGAAATAAAACCCTGAGATAGGTACAATTGTTATCCGCATTTTGCGGATGAGAAAATAGACTTTGAGATACTGACTTGGCGAGGGTCACACACCTAGGTGGTGTGCTGGGTCCCCCAGTCCAGGACTCCGGAGGCCCCCTGAATGACCTAGGCACGCTTGTGGCTTCCATGAATTTAAGTGCACACACACAGACCCCACCCACTCCTGTGCTAGGGAAGGGCAGGTGGGAGGAGGAAGGGAAGGCGGGTTTTTCTTTACAAATGGTCCCTATTTGGTAGTCAACAAAAGGAACTGAATTTGCCCCAACACTGGAAAAAAAAAAAAAAAACCTGTCGGGCTGAGGGATAGTGCACTGTGCCCAGGGCCCTATACTTGGTTTGATGCTCTGATGTTACTCTCTTGAAATTCTCAGTAACTTGAATAAGGGGCACCGCATTTAACATTTTCACTGGGCTGAGCCCATGATGCCGCCGGCCTGACTGCGCAACACCATGCACCCTGGAATTCGTGGGCAATCGGAGGGATTTTCCAGGGCAATGACCACGGGTAGGGCGCGGCAGGAGCGCATGGTGAGGTTGCGGAGGGTCTCACTCACAACCTTTGGGGATCTTCGCATTAGATGCTGTGATATGGGGTTCCGATATTGACCCTTTGGGGCCTGGAGACGGCCCGGCTCCCCAAATGTGCGGAGGAGGGCAAGCAGGGTTGGGAGGACATGGCCTGTGTGAGAGCTGGGCTCGCCGGAACAGTGGGCGCGCAAGGGCCCCGAGGCGCGGTGACGCGGGGCGTCGGGCGCGCGGGCCTGGGGCGGGAACTGCGGGTGCGCGCGGCCCGGGGCGGGGCTCGCCGCCCGGCTCCTCCTCCGCGCGCGGCCTGGCGGCGGCGGCCACTCTAGCCAGCGCAAGATGTCCCTAGAACAAGAGGAGGAAACGCAACACGGGCTGCTCCTAGGATGCAGCGACGCCGTCCCCGCCTTCATTGAGCCCAACGTGCGCTTCTGGATCACCACCGTGCGCCAAGTACGGCCCCGGGCCCCGCGCGGCTGGGGGCGGGGAGGGGGCGGGTCGGGCCGCGTGGTGTCGGGCTGGCCCGGGTGACCTTGGCCAGGCCACGTGGGCGCCCCCCGTCTCCGTTTCCTCGTTCCGGAGTTGTGCGGGGTACGCGCACCACCGGCCTTCACCCCTTAGGGCGCGGGAGGGGACGCAGGGGAAACCCAAGCTGCCCATGACCAAAACGTCATCCTCCAGATCGCCCTCTCGGAGGGGCCCAGTTCGCGCAGGTGGCTGCTCCCTACTCCCTGAGCTGTGGCTGAGCAACAGATTGGGGAGAAACAGGCCCTCCCACCTTGGTAAGCCCAGCCACTCTCGGTGAGAGCCCCGAGGCTTTGGGAAGCCACCCTTGGACAGGAAATAAGCAGGACTGACCTCCCTGCGGCGTCTAGGGCAGCACCGTCCAATAGAAATAAGATGTGAGCCTTACAGGCAATTAAACATTTTCCAGTAGCCACGTTAAACAAGATAAAAAGAAAAGGTGAAATTTTTAACAATACAGTACATTTAACCCAGCAGGTGCAAAATACTAACATTTCAACATGTAATCAGTACAAAACATTCCTGAGATATCTTACTCGTTTTTTTGGTGCGAAGTCTTCCAATCCGGCGTTTGTTACACTCGCAGCACATCTGGGTTTAGCCGCATGTGGCGAATCAGGGAGCAGGGCTTTACAGGGTTCTCTTTTAGGCCTCTCCTAAAGTGGGGTCCAGCCCTGTTTTCTTAGGTGGGGAAACTGAGAAGGTGGGGAAACTGAGCTCCGGTTGCTCCAGCAGAACCAGGGCTTAAAGCCAGAACCACTACAAAGTTTGGGGTTTGCTGGAGCAAACCTCCTTTTCCTAGTGTGACCCCAGCTGCACCATTGAGCCCTTAATGGGGCGTCCATCCTTTTTCACTGGAGTGAAGCCTTATAGCAAGCAGAGAGTGAGGCCACAGATTCTGAGATCTTCTAGGCCGTTGCTTCGAGGTCATATGTGAGATATGAACATAGGACCATTTGAACCCCAAAGTCTGGGATTTTCGCCCTCAAGGGCAATTGATACTGAGCGGTTAAGGGCAGAGACTTCTGAATCATTTACTGGCTGTGTTGCCTTGAGGACATTCATGAGTCCCTCTAAGCCTCAGCTTCCTCACCTGGAGAATGGAGAGGTTGGGAGGATCCCAGGAGTTGATGCCAGTAAAAGGCAGATCACAGATCCTGGCAGGTTCTCAAAAAAAAAAAAAAAAAAAAAGCCAACTGTTACTACTATGTCTTTATTTTTCTGCTGCTATTAACCTCTCTGTTGCTTTTCTCCCTCATAAGTCCTTTATTCGACGATTTCTTCAATGGACAGAATTATTAGATCCTACAAATGTGTTCATTTCAGTTGTAAGTATTGTCTTCAGAGCTAATGAATTTCACATTTTATTTTGAAACTTAAAGACCGCGTGTCCCTTTTTTTTTTTTTTTTTCCAGACGGAGTTTTGCTCTTGTTGCCCAGGCTGGAGTGCAATGGCACCATCTCAGCTCACAGGAACCTCTGCCTCCCACGTTCAAGCGATTCTCCTGCCTCAGCCTCCAGAGTAGCTGGGATTACAGGCATGCGCCACCATGCCCGGCTAATTTTGTATTTTTAGTAGAGACAGGGTTTCTCCGTGTTGGTCAGGCTGGTCTCCAACTCCTGACCTCAGGCCCAGCCCACATGTCCCTTTTAAAAGCAGTTGAAATAACAATCTGCATATATTATTGTGTGTATTCCTTCTGAATGAGCTTGTCAGATTGGAAGGGGTAAAGAAAAGCATACATCTGACCATGTGCCATGCCTCATGCCTTTAATCCCAGCACTTTGGGAGGCCGAGGCACATGGATCACCTGAGGTCAGGAGTCCTAGACCAACCTGACCAACATGGTGAAACCCCCATTTCTACTAAAAATACAAACATTAGCTGGGTGTGGTGGCAGGTGCCTGTAATCCCAGCTATTTGGAAGGCTGAGGCAGGAGAATCACTTGAACCCAGGAGGCGGAGGTTGCAGTGAGCGGAGATCGTGCCACTGCACTCTAACCTGGGTGACAAGAGCAAAACTCCATCCAAAAAAAAAAAAAGAAGAAAAAGAAAAGCGTACATTTGTTTAACAGGTAGTATCAGGCCCAGGCCGGGTGCTGGTGATTCAGAGAGAAACAAATCTTCCACATGATGGAGGACAGACTGGCTAAACTGGTCACATCCTGGGCGACAAGAGTGAAATTCCGTCTTTAAAAAAAAAAAAGAAAGAAAGAAAATGTAATGAAATGAGAAGCAAATATAACCAGATGTTTACAGTTGTTAATTCTCTGTGAGGGGATTATAGTGTGTAGCCATTCTTTGTAATTTTTGTATTTAATTATTTTTTCTCAAATTAAGAAATGGAGGCTGGCTCGTGTCTATAATCCCAGCACTTTGGGAATCTGAGATGGTAGGATCTCTCGAGAGTAAGAATTTGAGACCAGCCTGGGCAATATAGCGAGACCCTATCTGTACAAATAAAAATATAAAGTTAGCCAGGTGTAGTGGGTTGTGCCTGTAGTCACAACTAATTGGGAGGCTGAGGCAAGAGGATCACTTAAGCCCAGGAGTTCGAGGCTGCAGTGAGCTGTGATCACACCACTGCACTCCAGCCTGGGCAACAGAGTGAGACTCTGTCTCTTAAAAAAATAAGAAAATAAAGAAAGAAAAAGAGGTAAGACTGAACTGATTAGACGTGGAAGTGGGTGAGGGAGAAAGACTTCCGGGTTTCTGACATGCATAGCCAGGGGATGGTGGTAACCATTCAGTGAGACAGTTGACATCAGAGAGTGGGGGACGTGATAGCACAATTGCGGGCAGCTGCTGGAGCATCTAGGAAGAGGAAGGCGTAAATCTGAATGGCACTCAGGGCTATCCTAATGGCTAGAGAGCCTAGGGCACCTTGTGGCTTGAAATCAGGCATGCAGTTGAAGTCCAGTGCATGCTAGTGAGTGAGCTGGTGATTCCTACATCTGGGGATAAACCTGAACAATTTGAGATCATTACTTGATTTCTTGATGTCTAATTTTAGGAAAGTATAGAAAACTCGAGGCACCTATTGTGCACAAATGAAGATGCTTCCAACCCTGCCTCGGAGGACCAAAGGGTATGTTCCATGTGCCCAGGTCTGGCTGGTTGAAGGCTGGGTGTAGTTGCCCTCAGATGGTTCTGCCTGCATGGTCAGGTGGAATTTGGCCATTAATCTCTCTCTCCATCTCTTTTCTTTCTTTTTTCCTTCCCTTGGGAGCCACTGTTCTATTGGCTATTAATGCTGTCATTGTTATATACTGCCCAGAGGACCAGCTTTGCAAAACTGGGTTAGTTTTTAAAATGTAGTTAGAATTCTGTTCCGTAAACCAGACAGCAAGATTCCTCCTATGCAGTGGACATTTGTGGGGATTCCCTGCAGCTGATTCCTGGAGGCCCATGGCAAACTCCAGAATTCAGACAGGCCTCTGACGTCAGAATTCATTCTGCACTGCAGGCGGTGTTCCTGCTGATAGGCTCAAACGAGCCTGTCGAGGTTCCTTATCTACCTCGCAGTGTGTGGGGCTTTCTGGAGCTCACAGACACCAGTTCCTCAAGGCAGCCTCTGGAGAGCTCACATATTTAACTTACTTTTTCTAAGAATGTGTTGGGGACCCTGGGCTGACAGCTTGGCTCTGTTGCAAGTAACTTGGCTTATGGCACGGTGTGTCATCAGCACACGGCCTGCTCTGCTCTGAGCCAGAGGCAAGCCGGATTCGGGGACTCATCTGAGGCATAAGTTAGGTATTGGTCTTCTCCAAGGGTAGAGACAGGACTTTTTAATGTTCTGGTCAGTTTCTCTGTGTGGCTCATCTCTGCTTGCCATTAGTTCATTTGTTTATTCATACGATCCATTGATTTTGATTTGTTCTGTCGATGTGGTGGAAAACAGCTCTGGGCTTCACTTTCTGAAAGGTAGAGCAAAGGTGGTCCCAGAAATGAGACTGGCAAAGAGATTCTTTGGTGCTGAGCCACCTTTAAAAGCCTTTTTTTTTTTTTTTTTTTTTTTTTTAAGGCTGGGTGTGATGGCTTACCCCTGTAATTCCAGTGGTTTGGGAGGATGACTTGATGCCAAGAGTGCAAGACCAGCCTGGGCAGTATAGCGAGACCCCATCTCTAGCTGGGAATGGTGGCGTGAGCCTGCAGTTTCAGCTACTCAGGAGGGTGAGGTGGGAGGATCGCTTGAACCCAGTAGTTCGAGGCTGCTCTGCAGTGAGTGAGGATTGTGTCACTGCACTCCAGGCTGGGTGACAGAGCAAGACCTTGTCTCTTAAAAAATATTTAAAATGAAACAAAGCTGTTCTTTTTTCTCCTTTAAGATACAAGAAGCTTGGAAGCGGAGTCTTGTAAGTTTCAGTCCCTTCCTAATTTTTAGTGTCCTAAAATAACAAAACCAGACATCTTTGCATCTCTCCTCTTGCATCTAACCTTGCATCTCTCCTCTTGAAGGCCACAGTGCATGCCGACAGCAGCAACCTGATCCCCAAGCTTTTTCGACCTGCGGGTGAGTTGGCTCTAATTTTGAGAAGTGGGTTGGGAAGATGTAGTTTCTAACACTTAGGAAACTCTGCCTGCCGGATCACCTGGGGTCAGGAGTTCGAGACCAGCCTGGCTAACATGGTGAAATCCCTTCTCTACTAAAAATGTAAACAATTAGCTGGACATTGTGGTGGCACATGCCTATAGTCCCAGCTACTCGGGAGGCTGAGGCAGGAGAATTGCTTGAACCTGGGAGCCAGAGGTTGCAGTGAGGTGAGATCGAGCCATTGCACTCCAGCCTGGGCAACAGAGTGAAACTCCATCTCAAAAAAAGAAAAAGAAAACTCTGCCTGCTTTGCTTCAATTATTTTTCCCCCAGCAGGATTTCTTTTTTTTTTTTTTTTTTTGAAACAGAGTCTCACTCTGTCACCTAGGCTGGAGTGCAGTGGCACAGTCTCGGCTCACTACAATCTCAGCCCCCCGAGTAGCTAGGATTACAGGCGCCCGCCATCATCCCCGGCTTGTATTTGTATTTTTAGTAGAGACAGGGTTTCACTATGTTGGTCAGGCTGGTCTCGAACTCCTGACCTTGTGATCCACCCATCTTGGCCTCCCAAAGTGCTAGAATTACAGGCATGAGCCCCCGTGCCCGGCCTATACTAATTTTATGTACATCATTATTATTATTATCGTTTTTAGAGACAGGGTCTCACTCTGTTACCCAGACTGGAGTACAGTAGCACCATAATAGCTCAAAGCAGCCTCCAACTCCCAGGCTCAGCGGATCCTCCTCTCCTCAAGCCTCCTGAGTCGCTGGGACCACAGGGTCATCCTGCCATAACCTTCTTTAAATGTTTTGTGGAGATGGGGGTCTCACTACCTCTACAAAATGGAGGCTGGTCTCAAACTCCTGGCCTCAACCCATCCTCCAGCCTCAGCCTACCAAAGTGCTGAGACCTTGACCCACCATTTTATTAGAAAAAAAAGAATGAGTAGAAAAAGTCCTTTGAGGTCTGTGCCTTCTGAAAGCTGGGGAAGAGGTGCTTAGGTGGGTGGTCCCCTTCTGGCCCCCTCTGCCTGGGCAACTGTGGTCACTGACACCTCCTCTCTTCTCTTCCTGCCAGCATTCCTGCCTTTCATGGCGCCCACGGTGAGCAAGCAGACGTTCGCCGTTAGGAGAGTAGGAGCTTGGGAAGATGGCCACTCTCCTCCTAACCTCGGCTGTGTCCCTCCAGCTCCAGACCCCTGTCCCATGACTGCCTGATAGATGGTTGTGGACCCCCACTGACAACCCGTGGCTGCCATTCATATGTCCTTGTCTCCACTCCCTCCCCCTCCCCACACCCTCCCAGTCAGGCATCCAGGCCTCTGGAAGGCCACAGCTTGGCAAGGTCATCCCTTTCCCGAACACCAAGTATGCGCAGAGCACTGGAGAAGCGGCCAGTGAGTTAGGATGCGCTCCCTGCACAAACCCCTCGCCACCAAGTCCTTGTCTGACACAGCCCCTCACCTGGGACCTGGCATTGTCCCCGTGGGGCTTTCCCACCTTAGTCCTCGGAAGGTGCTTTTTGTTTTGTTTTTTTGTTTGTTTGTTTTTTGAGACAGAGTCTCGCTCTGTCACCTAGGCTAGAGTGCAGTGGCACAATCTCAGCTTGCTGCAGCCTCTGCCTCCCGTGTTCAAGGAATTCTCCTGTCTCAGCCTCCTGAGTGGCTGGGATTACAGGCGCCCGCCACCACGCCCAGCTAGTGTTTTTATTTTTAGTAGAGACGGGGTTTCGCCATGTTGGCCAGGCTGGTCTCGAACTCCTGACCTCAGGTGATCCACCCACCTTGGCCTCCCAAAGTGCTGGGATTACAGGCATGAGCCACCATGCCTGGACTGTTTTTTGTTTTGTAAAATACGGTCTTGCTCTGTTGCCTAGGCTGGAGTGCAGTGATGCAATCATAGCTCACTGTAACTTCAAACTCCTAGGCTCAATCAATCCCACTACTTCAGCCTTCTGAGTAGGTGGGACTACAGGTACTCGCCACCATGGGGCTAATTTTTTAATTTTTACCGGAGACAGAGTCTTGCTACAATGCTCAGGCTGGTCTTGAACTCCTGGGCTCAAGGGATCCTCCCAGTTTGGCTTACCAGAGTGCTGGGATTATAGGCGTGAGCCACCACTCCCAGCCCAGGAGGTACTTGTCCACATCACAGGCTGGCTCCTGTCTGCTTCCCCTAGCAAATATGTACTACTTCTTCTTTTTTTTCTTTTTTTTTTTTGAGACGGAGTCTTGCTCTGTCTCCCAGGCTGGAGTGCAGTGGCACGATCTTGGCTCATTGCAACCTCCACCTTCCAGATTTAAGTGATTCTCCTGCCTTGGCCTCCTGAGTAGCTGGGATTACAGGTGCGCACCACCACACTCGGCTAATTTCTGTGTTTTTTGTAGAGACAGGATTTCACCATGTTGGCTAGGCTGGTCAAGAACTCCTGGCCTCAGGTGATTCTCCCACCTCAGCCTCCCAAAGTGCTGGGATTACAAGAGTGAGCCACCACACCCAGCTAACAAATGTGTACATCTTAGCCACCCTGCTGGACTAAGGCCCTTGAGACGGCCTGCTGTGTGCTCCTGGATGTCCTTAGAGCTGCTAGTTTGGTGCTTGGCAGGTGCTCTCACTCAACCTTGTCTACCAACTGGCAGCCCCTGTACCCACTACCAGCCTCTCCTGCCCCAGCTCCCTGGGGCTCAATTCTCCGTCTCCCCTGGGAAGTTCTTTGCTACCGCAAGTTCTCCCTCCACAGAAACACTTGTAACTGTGTTCCACTTTCTTCTTAAAAGGTATTTTTGTCAATGATGCCACCAAAAGGGATCAAGTCCGTGATTTTACCTCAGGTAGCCATTCTTCCTGTTTCACGATTACTAAATTCTGTGATGCTTGAAACCAAACTGCGATCCATTTGCCCCTCTCTCGGCAGGTTTTCCTCTATACCTACATGACAATGTTCAACAGCATCAATGGAAACAGAAGTTATGTGAGTATTATGAGACGCAGAGGGTGTGGGGTTTTCTGTTATTTCTTTTGGAATTTGTTGTATGTATTTGTTTTAAAATTATCCTTGCTGGATAAAACTGTGATATTTGCTAAATAAGTACTTTTGTTTCTCCTTAGACTTGTAAACCACTAGAAAGATCATTATTAATGGCGGAAGCCATTGCTGCTTCAACCTTCTTAGGAGTAAGTATTTTTAGAATCTGTCAAATCTTCTTTATTCCTCAGAATCCAGGAAGCTTTATTTATTCTAGTTACAAATTTATGTTCCAATTTAAACAATTTAGAAAGTATGAATAGGGAATAAAAGTCGCCTGTAATCCTATTATCCCAAAATAATCATGTTAATAGTCTAAGTTTCCAGGCATATACATGGTACTGGTATCTTTTTATTTTTTTCTATTTTCTATTTTCTTTTTTTTTTTTTTTGAGACAGAGTCTCGCTCTGTTGCCCAGGCTGGAGTGCAATTGCATGATCTCAACTCACTGCAACCTCTGCTTCCTGGGTTCAAGTGATTCTCCTGCCTCAGCCTTCCGAGTAGCTGGGATTACAGGCACGCGCCACCACACCCAGCTAATTTTTTGTATTTTTTAGTAGAGGAGGGATTTCACCATGTTGGCCAGGTGGGCAGGTCACCTGAGGTCAAACTCCTGACCTCAGGTGACCTGCCCACCTCGACCTCCCAAAGTGCTGGGATTACAGGCGTGAGCCACCGCGCCCGGCCAACTCTCGACAACTTTCATACCTCTCTCTAAGCCCCTGTTGACTCCTTAGATGAACAGGGAGAGGACCTCCATGTTGCAGGAATTTGAAAAATACATGAAGGGCCCTGGCAGCGGTCTGACCTGTAACACGAACTAGGTCAGGGCGGCCTCTCTGCTAGTGAGTAGGTTCTGCTGATTTTTCAGTCCCATGAAATAATGATTTTTCTCTCTTCTTTTCTAGGTAGTGCCTCACTTTATCCAGATAAAGTATGGCCTGACTAACCCTTGGATTAAGAGACTCTTACCTGTGGTCTTCCTCGGTGAGCAAGAAGGGCTGGAGCCTGCAGTCTGGGCGGGGGCTCTCTTTGTGGTCTGTGAGCCTTCCTTCATCTCCAGAGGCACCTGGCTGCCTTGGCACATTGTGACTGATGACAGGTGGCCTTTGCGGCCCTGCAGGCCCCCAAAGCCCAAATTAGGTCCTTGCTCTGAGAGGTGACACTTTCTGTAAATACCCACATTAATGGCCAAAGAATGAACACAAGACTGGAAACGCAAATTACAGTTTTTTCTTGAGACGGAGTCTCGCTCCGTCACCCAGGCTGGAGTGCAGTGGCGTGACCTCGGCTCACTACAACCTCCGCCTCCTGGGTTTAGACAGTTCTCCTGCCTCAGTCTCCCGAGGAGCTGGGATTACTGGCGTGCGCCACCATGCCCAGCTAATTGGTTTTTTGTATTTTTAGTAGAGATAGGCATTCACCATGTTGGCCAAGCTGGTCTTGAACGTCCAGCCTCAAGTGATTCGCCTGCCTCAGCTTCCCAAAATGCTGGGGTTACAGGCATGAGCCACCACGCCCGGCCCTACATTTTAAAGATTATCTATATAAACGTTCTACATACATTATTTTACTTAATCCCGACAACAACTTATGGATAGGAAATATTATTATTCCTATTTACAGATGAGGAGACTGAGGCACAGGGAGGTTAAGTAACTTGCCTAGAGTTACACAGCAAGCAAATGGTTAGTATAGGGATTCCAACCCAGTGGGGTGACAGAGATATTAGCTGAATATTTTGACTCTGCCAGCCTGCAAGTTTACTATGTCATGCTCCAAATTTGAGTTTGGGAATCATAGCAGTTTGAAGAGTTGGCAGACTGATGTCAGTGGTGAAATTGAGGAAATGGTGTTATAGAATCCTTACAGCTTTGGCCAGGCATGGTGGCTCACACCTGTAATCCCAACACTTTGGGAGGCCATTGTGGGCGGATCACTTGAGGTCAGGAGTTCGAGACCAGCCTGACCAACATGATGAAACCCCGTCTGTACTAAAAATACAAAACTTAGCCAGGCCTGGTGGCGGGTTCCTGTAATCCCAGCTACTCTGGAGGCTGAGGCAGAAGAATTGCTTGAACCCAGGAGGCGGAGGTTGCAGTGAGCTGAGATCGCACCATTGCACTCCAGCCTGGGCAACAAGAGTGAAACTCTGTCTCAAAAAGAAAAGGAAACCTTACAACTTAAGCAAAGGTGAGGGATATGTTTCCAGGATCCCAGGGTTTCTCCTGGAATCCGGTAAGGAAGCAGGGGTGCTGGAAGCTGGTCCCAGGCTGTGGTCAGGATCCAAGACTGAGTGGTCAGCAGCTCTGAGCCTACTTCCACAGCCCCAGGAGAGCACCTGGTTGGCCCAGCCTGTGGCAGGTGTCCACCTGAGGGTCGAGAAAGGCCAGCTGTCAGAGAAAGAGGCTTGCAGTAGGCAGACACCCAAAGAGATGTTCCTTTGCTGGAACAAGACTCACCCCCATGTTGAGTGTTCTTTACTTCTTTACATCTACAGTGCAAGCCAGTGGAATGAATGTCTACATGTCCCGAAATATTGAATCCATTAAGGGGATTGCGGTCATGGACAAGGAAGGCAATGTCCTGGGCCATTCCACAATTGCTGGGACAAAGGTAAGAGACACGATGGAGCTATAGCTGCTTGCCTTTTGGGCAAAGACTTGACTTTTCTGTTTGGAAGCCAGTGACAAATTCATGTCTACCTTCAACCTTTCTTTACCCATCTTTCCTTAGTGTGCTGAGAGAGAAATTTTTCATTTTGCCCCCTGATGTGTAAAAGACGGGGCATTAGTCTGGGTTCTCTGGAGGAACAGAACCAATGGGATATATGTACATAATCTTTCTTTCTGAGACAGGGTCTTGCTCTGTCGCACCGGCCTGGAGTGCAGTGCTGCAGTCTTGGCTCACTGCAATCTCTGCTTCCCTAACACAAGCGATCCTGCCACCTCAGCCTTTCAAGTAGCTGGAACCACAGGCACACACCACCACATCTGGCTTATTTTTGTATTTTTAGTAGAGACAGGGTTTCACCATGTTGGCCAGGCTGGTCTCGAACTTCTGGCCTCGAGTGATCCACCCACCTTGGCCTCCCAAAGTGCTAGGATTACAGGCGTGAGCCACCATGCCTGGCCCCCAATTCCTTTTTGAAATCTCTCAAAAGAAAAGCATGTACCTCTGTCTCCATTGTCCCTCCCATTCACTCCTGAGTTTAAGTGATCCTCCCACCTTGGCCTCACAAAGTGCTGGGATTACAGGTGTGCGCCTCCACACCTGGGCAGTGCATGTCTATTAAGAGATTTGTTCTAAGGAATTGGCTTGCACAACTGTGGGAATCTGCAGAGTAGGCCTGGAGGCTGGAAACTTGGACAGGAGCTGCTGCTACAGTCTTGAGGCAGAATTTCTTCTTTGAGAAACCCCAGTTTTTGCCTGTAAGGCCTCCAACTGATTGGATAAGGCCCACCCACATTGTGGAAGGTAACCTTCTTTTTTTTTTTTTTTTTTGAGACGGAGTCTTGCTCTGTCACCCAGGCTGGAGTGCAATGGCGTGATCTCGGCTCACTGCAACCTCTGCTTCCCAGGTTCAAGCGATTCTCCTCCCTCAGTCTCCCGAGTAGCTGGGATTACCAGCTACCACCATGGGATTACGTGCATACCACCACACCCAGCCCATTTTTGTATTTTTAGTAGAGGTGGGGTTTCACCATGTTGGCCAGGCTGGTCTCGAACCCCTGACCTCAGGTGGTCTGCTCGCCTTAGCCTCCCAAAGTACTAGTTACAGGTGTGAGCCATCGTGCTTGGTGGTAACCTGCTTTTCTTAAAGTCAGCTGATTGCAGATGTGCTCCATGTCTGCAGAATACCCCTACAGCAACAACTAGATGAGTGCTGGATTAAATAACTGGGTACTGTTGCTATGGTGACCCATGAGGCTGACTGCCACAGACAGGCATCTGACAAGTGCTAGGCACCTCTGAGAGTGAGATCCTGTCCTTCAAGTTCAATATCTGCCCTCCCAGTGTGTGGTGATTGGGGGCCACTCCCCTCCCAGCCTGCTCTGCACTTACAGAGGTCAGTGGACACCCCTCTCTGGGGTTAAGAGAAGCCCTGCTTCTCCCACTTCAGCAGATGTCCTGATAGTCTTCATTGCTAAGGACTACTTTCATCAAGAATGGATTTAGAAAATTGAATTTTCTGATCCAAAACTCCTTCTCAAGGCCTCAATTTTGAATGCTTTTTACTATTAGTTTCTTCTTCTTTTTTTTTGAGACAGGGTCTCCTTCTGTTGCACAGGCTGAAATGCAATGGTGTGATCACGGCTCTCTACAGCCTCAACCTCCCAGGCTCAGGTGATTCTCTCACCTCAGCCTTCCAAGTAGCTGGGATTCTAAATACGCACCACCATGTGTGGCTCATGTTTGTGCTTTTTGTAGACGTGGGGTTTCACCATGTTGCCCAGTTGTGTCTCAAACTCCTGGGCTCAAGTGATCTGCCCACCTTGGCCTCCCAAAGTGCTGGGATTGCAAGGGTGAGCCACTGGGCCTGGCCAAAGTATTCTTTCGTTCAGTTCAGCACAGTGACTACTGAGTGCATTCAGCTGTGAGAACCTAGTATAGTCTATGGTGTTTTCATTTTGGGTGTAGACTTCTAAAATAATGTTTTTAGCAGGTGAGATCTTTTTTGGTCCCTGTGAAATGACTTTAGCTGAAGACTTTAGTTGTTTGCAAATGACATATCAAGCGGAGTGCAACAGCCCTGATACAAAGTGAAGAGACTAACCGGGCTTCTGGCAGTGGGGGATCCCGGGCACTCCCTTAGCCAGCCAGGGTACGTCTCTCTACTGGCCAGCGTGTTGGTGGCAGAGGAGGTCAGAAAAGATGGCTGTTCGTTCCATCGGTAAATATGTCATTATTCAGCTCACCAAACGTATTACGATTTAAAGTAATCCTATCACTGACTGACAAAGCTGAATTATAAACCATCAGATACATGCTAATGGTATTTCCACCAGACCATCTAGTAGCATAGCTCCTGACCTAAACGAATTGTGACAGAGACAAAATAATTATAAGTAACAGAGAAATTGCTGCCAGAAAGAAAATAGGTCACAAGTTTGAAATGAAGGTTCTGGACCTAATAAACCAACCGTAAGTTGGATCACTCGCAGTCAGTCAGGAGTTTGAGACCATGCTGGCCAACACGGTGAAACCCCATGTCTACTAAAAATGAAAACATTAGCCAGATGTGATGGCGGGTGCCTGTAATCCCAGCTACTCGGGAGGCTGAGGCAGGAGAATCACTTGAACCTGAGAGGTGGAGGTTGCAGTGAGCCGAGATCATGCCATTGCACTCCAGCCTGGGCAACAGAGCAAGACCCCATCTCAAAAACAACAAACAAACAAAAACAAACCACCCAGGACTGCATTTATGCTTTCCCCTGGGGAAGGAAAGAACACCCGAAAGAGACATTTTTTCTTTTTTTTTTTTTTTTAAGACGGAGTCTCGCTCTGTCGCCCAGGCTGGAATGCAGTGGCCGGATCTCAGCTCACTGCAAGCTCCGCCTCCCGGGTTTACGCCATTCTCCTGCCTCAGCCTCCCGAGTAGCTGGGACTACAGGCGCCCGCCACCTCGCCTGGCTAGTTTTTTGTATTTTTATTAGAGACAGGGTTTCACCGTGTTAGCCAGGATGGTCTCGATCTCCTGACCTCGTGATCTGCCCGTCTCGGCCTCCCAAAGTGCTGGGATTACAGGCTTGAGCCACCACACTGGCTGAGACATTTTTTCAAACACCTTTATTGAGATATAATTTACATACTGTAAAATTTGCCCATTGTAAGAGGAAAGTTTGATGAATTTTAGTGAATTTAAAACAATTGTGCAGCCAGGCACGGTGGCTCACTCATGCCTGTAATCCCAACACTTTGGGAGGCAGATCACTTGAGTCCATGAGTTCGAGACCAGCCTGGGCAACATAGCGAAACCCTGTCTCTACAAAAAAAATTTTTTTTAATTAGCTAGGCGTGGCGGGGTGCATCTGTAGTCCCAGCTACTTAGGAGGCTGAGGTGAGAGGATCAACTGAGCCTAGGAGGTTGAGGCTGCAGCAAGCCGTTATTGCACCACTATACTCCAGCCTGGTTGACAGAAAGAGACCTTCATCTCAAAAAATAAAAAACAGGCTGGGCGCGGTGGCTCACGCCTGTAATCCCAGCACTTTGGGAGGCCAAGACAGGCAGATCACCTGAGGTCAGGAGTTCAAGACCAGCCTGGCCAACATGGTGAAACCCCGTCTCTACTAAAAATACAAAAATTAGCTGGGCGTGGTGGCACATGCCTGTAATCCCAGCTACTCAGGAGGCTAAGGCTGGAGAATCACTTGAACCCAGGAGGCAGAGGTTGCAATGAGCTGAGATTGCGCCACTGCACTCCAGCCTGGGTGACAGAAAAAGACTCTGTCTCAAAAAATAATACTAATAAATAAGTGAAACAGTTGTGTGACCATCACCACAGTCCAATTGTAGAACATTTTCATCATCCTAAAAATGTCCCAAATGCCCACTGCTACCCCCAGCCCTAGGGAAGCACTGATCTGCTTCTTTTTTTCTTTTTTTTTTTGAGTCAGAGTCTCGCTCTGCCGCCCAGGCTGGAGTGCAGTGGTGTGATCTTGGCTCACTGCAACCTCCGTCTACCAGGTTGAAGCAATTCTCCTGCCTCAGCCTCCTGAGTAGCTGGGACTATAGGCGCCCGCCACCACGCCCGGATAATTTTTTGTATTTTTAGTAGAGATGGGGTTTCCCCGTGTTAGCCAGGATGGCCTTAATCTCCTGACCTTGTGATCCACTGGCCTCGGCTTCCCAAAGTGCTGGGATTACAGGCATGAACCCCCGTGCCCGGCCACTGACTTGCTTTTGTGTCTTCTTAGTTTTTGCCTTTTCCAGAAATTATACATAAGTGAATCACACAGTAGTATTTTGTGTCTTGCTTCTTTCACATTTGAGATTCATCCATCTTGTACCACATGTTGGTCATTTGTTACTTTTCACTGCTGAGTAGTATTCCATACCTGGATGTGCTGCATTTTGCTTCTCTATTCCGCAGGCAGTGGATGTTTGGGTTGTGTCCAGCCTTGGGTTATCATGAATCAGGCTGCTCTGACGTTCACTTGCACATCTTTATGTACATGTGTGTTTGTATTTCTCTGCAACTCCGTGTGAACTTAAGGTGTTACTATTGCTGTGACGTATTTGTAAAGCTGGAGAGGAGAATGAGAGCAAATTTTTTTAAGTTTGTTCATTTATTTATTCATTTATTTATAGAGACAGAGTCTCCCTCTGTCGCCCAAGCTGGAGTGCAATGGTACGAACATGGCTCGCTGCAGCCTCAACTTCTTGGGCTCAAGCAAACCTCCTGCCTCAGCCTCCTGAGTACTACAGGTGTGCACTACCATACATGGCTAATTTAAAAAAAAAAATGTTTGTAGAGGGGGGGGTCTTGCTATGTTGCCCAGGCTGGTCTCAAACTCTTGGTCTCAAGCGATCCTCCTGTCTTGGCCTCCCAGAGCGCTGGGAGGTGTGAGGCACTGCACCCAGTTTAAAGCAAATATTGAAACGGCAAGTTATTCCCAGCGCCTCCTGCCTGCCAGGCTTGGTGCTAGGCTCTGGAGGCGCACACCCTGACCAGTGAGAGCCCCGTCTCCACAGGAGCCCCAGCCTCCCCGTGGGAAGATAGCCTCAGGCTTGACTGGCTGTTTGGAGTCCATCTCACCAGAAGAAACTCCGTTTTTCGCATGAGGGGCATATTAGGGTCAAAGAAAAGCTTTACTGGCCTGCTTTAAAAAAAAAAAAAGTCTTTTTTCTCTGAAGAATAAATTGTCTGCATCTGTGCATAAGCAATAAGCATTCGTCTATCACTTCCCTGTCCGCGGAAGGTCATTTCCTTTAGCTAAAATTTCAGAAACTGCGTAACCAGCAATATCTGATGGTGAGAGGGCACTGTTGGTCCGATTTCAGGTGACTCGTGGCTATTATTCCCCCTACTGGCCCCATAAGCCACTCCTTTGCACACAGCGCCTCCTAATGATGGCGTCTCACCTGGGGTGTCCTCCCCATACGCGGGACCAAGGGACAGAGACGGGCCTCGCCCCACTGACACGGACGCATGGCACACCAACAGCCATTTTTCCCTTCCAGAAGTCAAGCAATTTTACTTTATGTCCCTGAGACTTTTATTTTATTTTCTTTCTTTTATTTTAGAGACTGAGTCTCACTCTATTACCCAGGCTGGAGTGCAATGGTGTGATCTCGGCTCACTGGAACCTCCACCTCCCAGGTTCAAGTAATTCTCCTGCCTCAGTCTCCCAAGTAGCTGGGATTACAGGTGCCTACCATCATGCCCGGCTAATTTTTGTATTTTTAGTAGAGACAGGGTTTCACCATGTTGGCCGGGCTGGTCTTGAACCCCTGACCTCAGGTGATCTGCCCACCTTGGCCTCCCAAAGTGCTGGGATTACAAGCGTGAGCCACCACACCTGGCCCCTGAGACCTTATTTTTAAAACAGCCCTCCTCGGCTTCCTCTCTTTTGTGGGGGGAAAGGCATTCCCTGCAGAGGGAACCGCACAAGCGTGACTGTCACCCGCAGCAGGGCAGAGGTGTGAGCAGAGAGCAGGGGCTGGCCAGTAGGAGGAGCCTGGGAAGGTAGGTCAAAGCCATTCATGGGAAGCTGGAAGTGGAAGGACAGAGTTCAGGGAAGGATGGGTGCAGGTGTGCCTGCCCCTCTTGGGTATACCATGTGCTGTTTGTGGTGTATGTGTCTTACCCAGGGGTGGGTTCTAAAGTTAACATGCTAGCTACTTAGGAGGCTGGGGCAGGAGGATTGCTTGAGGCCAGGAAGTCAGGACCAGCTTGGGCAACATAGTGAGACCCCATCTCTACAAAAAATTCGAAGTTAGCTGGGTGTGGTAGGGTGTACCTGTGATCCTGGCTGCTTGGGAGGCTAAGGTAGGAGGATCACTTGAGCCTGGGAGGTCAATGCTGCAGTAAGCCGTGATCATGCCGCTGTACTCCAGCCTGGATGACAGAGTGAGACCCTGTCTCTAAAAATAAATAAATAAATAAATAAATAAATAAATAAATAAATAAATAAATAAATACAAGTAGTAAAAAAGTTAACGTGAGCTGTTTTATAGTCAAAATTTCCCTTACAAGTCCCTTAAAGTGCCCTTAAGGGGTACATGGTTTTGTGCATATTCACCCATACAGTAAATTGTATGTGTAAATGTTTAATGTATGGAGTAATGTACATTATAGAAAAGATTGCAAACATAACCTGTACATAACACAATTTTATAGTACAACACTTTTAATTCGCTGTGAAATGGGTACAGACAGGCGACCTCGTGTGGGTCCCATGCCGTGCCCGTGTCCTCAGAGCTGGGCATCTGGAGGCTCCCCCACTGGCAGGTATGGGAGTTGCTGCCGAGCCAGGCACAGGACAGGCCGGTGGCGGAGATGTGGCTTGGACGGGAAATACGGAGTGAACCTCTGTGGCAAATCCAGCATTTCCACCGAGGAACGATTTGGTTCTCAGTGAGGGTCTGTCTAGAAGCCACCTTTGCTTGTATGTAGTGGATAGTTTATTTGGGGTCGTTTGGCAGACGGATGGAGACCACTGTGGAGTCGAGGAGGTAAATCCCCTCCTAGCTATTTCTGGCACCAAGTGTGGCCGACCTGCACACACCTGTATGTGGAAAGGAACGTGGAAGGCATCCCCTCCGCCTCTCTCCACGGGCATCCCCTCCGCCTCTCTCCACGGGCATCCCCTCCGCCTCTCTCCACGGGCATCCTTTTTCTGAGTGAGAAGGGAGGGTTGCTGTTGCCTGTCTCTGGCAGGAGTTGTGGGATCCCTAGAAATCGTCTTGCTCCTGTACTAAGCTGCTTTTTTGAGACAGAGTTTCATTCTGTTGCCCAATCTGGAGTGCATTGGCGTGATCTCGGCTCACTGCAACATCCGCTTCTCAGGTTCAAGTGATTCTCGTGCCTCAGTCTCCTGAGTAGCTGGGACTACTGGCGCATAACACCACACCTGGCTAATTTTTGTATTTTTTGGTAGAGATGGGGGTTTCACCACGTTGGCCTGGCTGGTCTCAAACTGCTGACCTCAAGCGACCCACCTGCCTCAGCCTCCCAAAGTGCAGGGATTACAGGTGTGAGGCACCGTGCCTGGCCTAAGCTGTTTCTCTTCATTTTTGCTAGGCTGTTAGAGAAACGGCAGTATCCAGGACAGTGCTGTTTGGGACCTCTGCTCTGATTCCTGAAATCTTCACCTACTTTTTTAAAAGGTAAGAGGCATAGTCCTATCCCCAGGTAGGGATCTGAAAGTCAAATCCTTATAAAAACCTGTCAGATACTGACCGTGGTAGAGGGTGGAAGGAGTAACCTTCCCGTAAACACGCATCACAGCTAAGACAGTCAGATTGTGGCAGGCATGGAAATCCAGGTGTGTGGATTCCACCGAATGGGGAATCCAGCCCAGGCTCTGCCTCCAGTTACCCCGCGTCCTTGACGTGTCCAAGGACCTTCCACGGCCATTTCCTCACCTCTAGAATGAGGGGCTTGGATGACGTGCACGTTCCCCTGGCTCTGATGTGCTGTGAATATTGCTCAAGCCCGCCCCTCTGCACCCCCATTCCAAGCATGTTTTAAATTAGCTTCAGCGACTCCGGATTCAGATTCACCCCTTTGAAGAAGCCAGAAATGGTCTATGAGGTGGAGGACCTGGGCATCCATCAGGGTTCCTGTGGCCCCCAGTATGAGAAGCCTAACCTGCAAGAGCTCAGGCTCGAGGGGAGATGTGGGGCTTTAGGGCCGGAACGGGCAAGGATTGCAGACCATGGCAGCTTGAACAGAAGCTCCCTTGCTGGGCGCGCCTCCCTGTCACCCTCGTGAGTGTTGGTTCCTTCTCTCCTGCCAGATTGGCTTCTTCATATTGATGAGGGACCTGTTTGCTAGTAACTCCCAGCTCATGGCCTCACAGCCTCCTGATCAGAGGTGGACTACAGCAAACCCCAGGGGAGGCACGAATGTCTTCCCCTCTGGGCAGACTCCTGGGGAAGGATTCTGTAGGCCTGAATTGGGTTGTGTGCCTGAGCTGCAGCATGGCGAGGCTGGGATTCGCCTGCTAGGACCACACACAGAGCACATTTCCAAGAAGGAGGGATGGGATGGCGCGGTGGCTCACGCCTGTAATCCCAGCACTTTGGGAGGCTGAGGTGGGTAGATCACCTGAGGTCAGGAGGAGTTTGAGACCAGCCTAGGCAACATGGTGAAACCCTGCCTCTACTGAAAATACAAAAATTAGCCAGGCGTGGTGGCGGGCGCCTATAATCCCAGCTACCCAGGAGACTGATACAGGAGAATCGCTTGAACCCAGGAGGCAGAGGTTGCAGTGAACCAAAATCGCACCATTGTACTCCAGCCTGGGCGACAGAGGAAGACTCTCTCAAAAAAATAGAGAAAACAGGCCTTGATCTAGCTGTTCAGGTACAATAAAAAGAAAAAAGAACAGGCCCTGATCCAGCTGTTCAGGTGCACTAAAAATAAAAATTAAAAAACAAAACAAAGCAAAAAAAAACAGGCCCTGATTCAGCTGTTCAGAAAATAAGCCCTGGGCCGGGCACGGTGGCTCAAGCCTGTAATCCCAGCACTTTGGGAGGCCGAGACGGGCGGATCACGAGGTCAGGAGATCGAGACCATCCTGGCTAACACGGTGAAACCCCGTCTCTACTAAAAATACAAAAAAACTAGCCGGGCGAGGTGGCGGGCGCCTGTAGTCCCAGCTGCTCGGGAGGCTGAGGCAGGAGAATGGCGTGAACCCGGGAGGCGGAGCTTGCAGTGAGCGGAGATCTGGCCACTGCACTCCAGCCTGGGCGACAGAGCGAGACTCCGTCTCAAAAAAAAAAAAGAAAATAAGCCCTGATAGTTTCACATCACTAGTGAGCCATGCCTTGTCTCTTACAGGACCCAGTTTTTCCTGAAAAACCCAGGGTCATTGTGGATCCTGAAACTGTCTTGTACTTTCCTGACAATGGGACTGATGGTGCCAGTTTCTTTTAGTGTATTTCCACAGATTGGACAGGTAAGTGCCCCCATTCCACTTTTCTCTCAAAGTTTTTTATTTTGCGGTTATAAGAGTAAAGTAAATAAGTTATTCTTACAAATCTGCAAGGTTTATAAAAATATAAAACAAGACCAGGTGCAGTGGCTCACACTTGTAATCCCAGCACTTTGGGAGGCCAAGGTGGGAAGATTGCTTGAGCCCAGGAGTTCAAGACCTACCTAGGCAACATAGTAAGACCCTATCTTTACAAAAAATAATACACAAATTAGCTGGGTGTGGTGATGTACACCTGTTGTCCCAGCTGCTCGGGAGACTGAGGTGGGAGGATCACCTGGGCCCAGGGTTGAGGCTGCAGTGAGCTGTGATTGCACCACTGTACTCCAGCCTGGGTGAGAGTGAGACCCTATTTCAAAAAAATAAAATAGTAAAACAAAATACAGTTGACTTTTGAACAACTTGGGGGTTAGTAGTCAAAAATCCAAGTATAACCTTTGACTCCCCGAAAACTTAACTATTAATAGCTTACTGTTGACCGGAAGGCTTACCAATAGCATAAAAAGTCAAGTAACACATATTTCATATTCTATATGTGTTATATAATGTATTCCTACAATAAACTAGAGAAAATAGAATGTTATTAAGAAAATCAGGCCAGGCGCAGTGGCTCACACCTGTAATCCCAGCACTTTGGGAGGCCGAGGCGGGTGGATCATGAGGTCAGGAGATCGAGACCATCCTGGCTAACACGGTGAAACCCTGTCTCAACTGAAAATACAAAAAAATTAGCCGAGCACGGTGGCGGGCGCCGGTAGTCCCAGCTACTTGGGAGGCTGAGGCAGGAGAATGGCTTGAACCTGGGAGGCGGAGCTTGCAGTGAGCCAAGATCGCGCCACTGCACTCCAGCCTGGGCGACAAGAGAGAGACTCCGTCCAAAAAAAAAAAAAAGAAAATCAGAAAATCAGGCCAGGTGCGGTGGCTCATGCCTGTAATCTTAGCACTTTGGGACGCTGAGGCGGGCAGATAACTTGAGATCAGGAGTTCAAGAGCAGCTTGGCCAGCATGGTAAATAAAACTCCAGGGCCGGGCGCGGTGGCTCACGCCTGTAATCCCAGCACTTTGGGAGGCTGAGGCGGGCGGATCACAAGGTCAGGAGATCGAGACCACGGTGAAACCCCGTCTCTACTAAAAATTACAAAAAATTAGCCGGGCGCGGTTGTGGGCGCCTGTAGTCCCAGCTACTCGGGAGGCTGAGGCAGGAGAATGGCGTGAACCCGGGAGGCGGAGCTTGCAGTGAGCCGAGATCGCGCCACTGCACTCCAGCCTGGGCTGGGCGACAGAGCGAGACTCCGTCTCAAAAAAAAAAATAAATAAAAAATAAAACTCCAGCTCTACTAAAAATACAAAAATTAGCCAGGTGTGGTGGTGCCTGTAATCCCAGCTACTCAGGAGGCTGAGGCAGGAGAATCGGTTGAACCTGGGGATGTGGAGGTTGCAATGAGCCAAGATCATGACATTGTACTCCAGCCTGGGTGACAGAGTGAGACTCTGTCTCAAAAAAAAAAAAAAAAAAAAATCATAAGGAGGAAAAAATGTATTTACTGTTTATTACATGAAGGTGAGTCATCAGTTTCAGTAAGGATCAAGGTCTTCATCCTCGTCATCTTCATGTCGAGTAGGCTGCGGAGGAGGAAGAGGGGTTGGTCTGGCTGTCTCACAGGTGACGTAGGAGGAAGAAAATCAGTGTATAGGTGGACCTGCATTGTTCAAACCTGTATTATTCAAGGGTTAACTGTAATGATATTTATATTTAATTCTGTCCCTCAATTCTCTTGGTGCAGTTTTGGGTTCTGTTTTTCTTAACACTATTTCATAAGCATTTTTTTCTGGGGCATAAAAAGAAATGTTTTAAAACTACTTAATGAAATAAATTTTAAATACTCCAAAATGTTCTCTAACTACGCCCTCTCCAATAGAACTTTCTGCAGTGCTGGAAATGTTCTATAATAGATTGGTGCTGTCCAGTATGGTAGCCAAGAGCTACATGTGCTACTGAGCACTTCAGGAGAGGCTGGTGTGACTAGGGAATGGAATTGTAAATTAAGTTAAATTTTAAATTAGGTACTCTTGTGTGCTTAGTGGCTATTGGACAGCCCAGTTCTGTAGATAATTTATAATATAATTTATTATGAGTCAGACTGCCTGGACTCAGATTCCAGCTTCTCCACGACCTTGGTCAACTTGTTCCATTTTCTTATCTGTTAAAGAGAGCTGAAGATAATGGCATCTCTACCAAGGGTTGTTGCTCAGTAGGCAGCAAGGACATTTTTTTTTTTTTAAGTCAGAAAGCCAGTTTTTTTAATTTCCGAAGCTCTGCCATAAATTTCTAGCAGATGTCAAGGACATTATTGATGCTAGCAGATATCAGCAATTTCTTGGCTAAATATTTTAAGTGCTTGTTTCTGTCACTATAAATATATATGTCCTCAAAAGCATATTTATGGAATGATCTTGTTCAGAATCCACATTTTATAGGTTTAGGTTTTAGGATCATTCATTCAAGCAACTTTGCCAGCACAACGTAGAAGTTTCAAATTATTTTAGATAGTTATGCTTATTACTATGCTATGGGCGAGGGGTTGGGGAGTGAGGCAGCATCTCAGAATAAAATTTCAGGCCAGGCATGGTGGCTCATGTCTGTAATCCCAACACTTTGGGAGACCAAGCTGGAAAGATTGCTTGAGGCCACGAGTTCCAGACCAGCCTGGGGAATGCAGTGAGACCCCGTTTCTACATAAAATGTTCTAAAAATTAGGTCGGGGGCTGTGGCTCATGCCTGTAATCCTAGCACTCTGGGAAGCCCAAGTGGGAGGATCACTTGAGCCGGAGTTCAAGACCAGCCAGGGCAACATAGCAAGACCTCGTCTCTGCTGAAAATAAAAATTTGGCTGGGCACGGTGGGTCACACCTGTAATCCCAGCACTTTGGGAGGCCAAGGTAGGAGGATCACTTTAGCTCAGGGTTTGAAACCAGCCTGAACCTCATCTCTATTCTGAAAAAAATTAAAAAGAAAAAATAATAGTAATAATTAGCCAGGCATGGTGGTATGTGCCTGTAGTCCCAGCCACTCAGGCAGCTGAGGTAGGAAGATCACCTGATCTTTGGTCAAGGCTGCAATGGGGCCACAGAGTGAGACTCTGTCTCAAAAAAAAAAAAAAATTAGTGGGGTGAAGTGGCAGACAGCTGCAGTCCCAGCTACTCAGAAGGCTGCGGTGAGAGGATCACTTGAGCCCAGGAAGGAGAGGAAGAGTTTATTCCCAGTGGAGGATGGGAAGGGCTGAATGGGCACGTGAGGCTACAAGGAACAGGCAGGATGCTGGGGGCCAGGTGGCAGGGCCTGCACAGCCAGGCCGAGGAGGTGGGCGGCAGGTGAGTCATTCAAGGTTGGAAGGGGCAGAACTCCCAGAGACTAGAGTGGAGGCAGGAAAGGGAGTCAGTTACACACATGACCCCAGATGCCAAGACTTGCTTGCTGGACTTTGAAAATATCCTGTTGGGGTCGGGCGTGGTGGCTCATGCTTGTAATCCCAGCACTTTGGGAGGCCGAGGCGGGTGGATCACGAGGTCAGGACGTTGAGACCATCCTGGTTAACACGGTGAAACCCCGTCTCTATTAAAAATTCAAAATATTAGCCAGGTGTGGTGGCGGGCTCCTGTGGTCCCACCTACTTTGGAGGTTGAGACAGGAGAATGGCATGAACCCCAGAGGTGGAGCTTGCAGTGAGCCGAGATTGTGCCACTGCACTCCAGCCTGGGCGACGGAGTGAGACTCCATCTCAAAAAAAAAAAAAAAAAGAAAATATCCTGTTGGCTCAAGGCGGGCATGGAGGTGCTTAGATGAGATAAGGAGTTACTACTAATTTTGTTGCGTATGATAATGGCATAGTGACATGACATGAGAATTGCCTTAAAATACTCAAGGGAAAAAACCCTACTGCAGGGTGTGGGAGGTGCTTGATGAAATGAGATCTGCAAATTGTTAATAGTTATTCCTGAGTGAGCACATGTGAGTTCATTACATTCTTTCCACATTTGTTTTTTGTTTGTTTGTATGTTTGAGACAGGGTTTCTCTCTGTTGCCCAGGCGGGAGGGCAGTGGTATAATCACGGCTTGCTGCAGCCTTGACTCCCAGGCTCAAGTGATCCTCTGGCCTCAGCCTCTCAAGTAGCTGGGACTACAGGAACGTACCACCACACCTGGCTCATTTTTATTTTTTGTAGAGACAGGGTCCCACTGTATTGCCCAGGCTGATTGCAAACTCCCCACCTCAAGCAATCCTCCTGATCTTGGCTCACTGTAACCTCCACCTCCCAGGTTCAAGCGATTCTCGTGCCTCAGCCACCGGAGTAGCTGGGATTACAGGCACCCACCACCACGCCCGGCTAATTTGTGTATTTTTTGTAGAAATGGGGTTTCACCATGTTAGCCAGGCTGGTCTCAAGTGATCTACCCGCCTCAGCCTCCCAAAGTGTTGGGATTACAGGCATGAGCCATTGTGCCCAGCCATCTTAAAACTTTTTAATGGAAAGTTTCAATTATAAACAAATATAGAGATAAGTAAATAACAATAATAGGCCAGAGGTGGTGGTGCGCGCCTGTAATCCCAGCTACTCGGGTGGCTGAGCTACGAGAATCACTTGAACTTGGAGGGTAGAGGTTGCAGTGAGCTGAGATGGTGCCACTGTACTCCAGCCTGGGCAACAGAACAAGACTCTGTATCAAAAAAAAAAAAAAGCTTAAAAAGTTTCTTTACTACTTGGGTGATTTAAAAAAAAAAATAGGCTACATTTTCTGCTATAGATTAGACATTATTGAAAAAGATAGACTGAAATGGTGGCTTTCAGAAAATGATTTTTTTAGCTTGGCTTCTAAGGCAAGAAAAACTATTAATAGAAATATTGTGAATTTAACTATTTTTCAGATACAGTGCCGTAGTCATGAAGAGAAAATTCAGCCTTCAACAGAAGAAACAGAAATCTTTTATCACAGAGGGGTGTAGGCATGAGTTTCAGGTGAATTTATGTGCTTCCTGCTTGAACACCTTCACCTCTCCAGCTTCGGTTTAGAGAACTCTGCCAGAGGTCCTCTGGGGACCCCACAGGTGTCTGTGCTGACAAGGTGACTTAAAGTTCCACACTGAGATCACTCCCAGGCTGGCATGTCTGGGGTTTTTAAGGCTGGCTGGAGAAGACGGTGGGAGGGTGCCCCGTCTGACATCCTTGGGGTTGCTAAGGAGATGGTTGGAGTGGGGATCGGCCTGCGAAAGGATACTATGAAATCACTAATTACCTAATAAACCTGTCTCAAGTTGAGTATTTGAAGAAAGAACACAAAGAGTCCACCGTGCCCAGGACACAGGCGTCCAATGGATAGGCCATTTCAAGTGGAACACGTACCCCTGGGGCGCTGTTTATGGCCTCCGACCCCAAAAGCAATCTTGTTTCCTTACTCAGCGTCCTCCAATCTAGACGGCTGCTTAAAACCTTTGCTGCCCTCTGCCCAGTGCCTCCTTTCTCCTCTCTGGAGGCTGAGGCACGAGAATCACTTGAACCCTGGCGGCAGAGGTTGCAGTGAGTCAAGGTCGCGCCATTGCATTCCAGCCTGGGTGACAGAACTAGACTGTGTCTCAAAAAGAAAGAAACTGCTTGTCACCTGCCTCATTAGAGACCGGATCTTGCTGTCACCCAGGCTGGAGTACAGTGGCACAACCATAGCTCACTGCAGCCTTGAACTCCTGGGCTCAAGGGACCCACCTGCCTCAGCCTCCTGAGTGGCTGGGACTACAGGCGCCTGCAACCACGCCCGGCTGTAGCCAGACCTTAAAAGAGTTGTCGCCCTCACAGTCTCTGCCCCACCTCCAATTCTACTAAGACTGCTCTCATCCGTGACCCACCTGAATGTGGCACTGCCACACTGCTGGGCACTCAGGCTGGTCACTGAGCTGCTTACTTGGCTGCACTTTGCCATATGGATGTCCCAGACACCTCAAACTCAACCCATCCAAACTTGAAAGCAGCTCTCCCTCCCAGTCTCAGGAATTGACACCACCACCTACCCAGGTGCACCAGACAGGATCACTGGAGACGCCCTCTCCCCACCTTAACCCCAGCGTATTCAGTAGACGGGGCCCAGTACATGGAGTCTGGAACCCATGTATGCCCGCTGCTACCGCCCAGCGCAGTCCAACAGCGTCCCCTGCTGGCACTGCCTGGCCCATCTCCTGCCTACTCCCTCTGGTTCACGTTCCAGCCTGCTCTTCTAAATCACACCTGCTGAACAGTTTTTTTTGTTTTGAGACGGAGACTTGCTCTGTCACTCAGGCTGGAGTGTAGAGTGCAGTGGCACGATCTTGGCTCACTGCAACCTCCACCTCCTGGGTTTCACGCGCGTCCATGTGAAAAGACCACCAAACAGCCTTTATGTGAGCAATAAAGCTTTTTAATCACCTGGGTGCAGGTGGGCCGAAAAGAGTCAGTGAAGGGAGATAGGGGTGGGGCCGTTTTATAAGATTTGGGTAGGTAGTGGAAAATTAGTCAAAGTGGGTTGTTCTCTGGCTGGCAGCGGTGGGGGTCACAAGGTGCTCAGTGGGGGTGCTTTTGAGCCAGGATGAGCCAGGAGAAGGAATTTCACAAGGTAATGTCATCAGTTAAGGCAGGAACAGGCCATTATCACTTGTTTTGTGATTCTTCAGTTACTTCAGACCATCTGGATGAATACATGCAGGCTTGGGCTCAGAGGCCCGACACTGGGTTCAAGTGATTCTTGTGCCTCAGCCTCCTGAGTAGCTGGGACTACAGGTGTGCACCAGCCACCACATTCAGCTAATTTTTGTTTGTTTTTAGTAGAGATGGGGTTTCACCCTGTTGGCCAGGCTGTCATCTGTCCTCGTGATCCACCCGCTTTGGCCCCTCAAAGTGCTGGGATTACAGGCATGAGCACCGCACCCGGCCTGAAAAGCCTTAAATGGCCTCCCAGTGCGTCAGGATCAAGCCCACATTCCTCACCACAGCAAGCCTTTCCCATACTCATATCCTGCCACTCCCTCCCCTCCCTCTAGACCCTTCAGGTCCTCACATGGGCTGTGGTCTCTTCTCCAGACCTTCACACAGCTGTTTCCTCTGGTCTGAGTAGATGTCTTCTTATGCTTCAGGTCTGACTTTGACATCGATCACTCCCTCTGAGAGGCCTTCCAGGATTGACAGCACTGAACTGGGTCCCCATCTGTGTGCTCCGATACCACTCTGTTTCACACATCACGCCTAGCACTAGCCGCACGACAGCAGCCTGTTTGCTGACCCTATTCCCCAAGCGGACTGCGCAGCACCGCGAGAGCAGGGACTGCTGCCCATAAGGGTAGCCCAAAATACAACACAGGCATGGCCCAGAGTAGGTACCTCAACATTTGAGTATTGGACTAACGTTTTCAATGCACCCTACCCCAAATTACCAAAGAATTATCTGTGGTTTTGTTTCCCCAAGGCCAGAATGACGGTTAATTTCCAAATCTGGTGAGGAGAGTTTCACAGCAGCCTAAAAGGACAAAATCAGTAAATGGCTCAGTCTGACCACAGGCTGACACTAACCAAAATTAAAGTTAGAGAACAAGATGGGCAACAGCTGCAGGTGGAGGCTTAACCACTACCAGATGACAGAAATGTGAAGGCACCTTCCAAGGACAGGAGACTGAAGTTACAGAGGCAGCTCCAGGAAGGCGAGTGGAGGAGGGCTAGGGCGGGAGGAAAGGGTGTGTGGCGAGGGACGGCTTGAACTTTTTTTTTTTTTTGAGACCGAGTCTCATTTTGTTGCCCCGGCTGGAGTGCAATGGTGCAATCTCGGCTCACTGCAACCTCCGCCTCCCAGGTTCAGGCAATTCTCCTGCCTCAGCCTCCTGAGTAGCTGGGATTACAGGCACCTGCCACCACACCCAGCTAATTTTTGTACTTTTAGTAGAGACGGGGTTTCACCACGTTGGCCAGGCTATTCTCAAACTCAATCTCAGGTGATCCGCCTACCTCGGCGTCCCAAAGTGCTGGGATTACAGGCATGAGCCACTGCGCCCTTGGCCATCTTGAACTTTCAGACAGGTCTTTTAATAATTCCCTAGTGCCCTCACAGTTTTTTTTCTCCGTTTTCTTTGGAATGAGCAGAATTAGAGAAAGAGGGGACAATTTGTCACCCACCTAAAAGTAGTTGAATATCAAAATATTTCCATTTTATTTCTGCATCATAAATTTATAATTTTAACAACTTTGATCATTAGCTAATATAGTAATACAAAAAAATGAGGAAAAAGATATTAGTATTTTTCATTTCCATAAAGTGCAGATTTAATTTTCAATTATTTGCCTTAGTAAACATCGTCTTATTTCAGGTCCTCCCCTGCCCTCACTCAAAAAGGGAGGGTGTTTAATTTTTATTTAACAAATATGTAATACCAAGAAAAAAAAGATCCAATAATGTTTTTTGCAAACATGTTTCCAGGTAAGATTTCCAAGGACATCAGTACTGAGTGAAAGTAATCCCTTACAATCAACATGAATGACACACTAACAAGCACGTAATTGAGGCCTCCATGCTGATTTGGCAATGTTAAGGTCTCCAGTTGTGAAAAAGGTACATAAATGAATACAAACAGTTGGCTTGACATGTGGCCAAATTACTTTCACCAAAGTTGTTGGAAGCCTTTCTCTGGTTTTGGCCCCTGTAGGAAGTTAATCTCATATTCCCTTAGCAATAATATAAGGTCACTGTTTCAGTCCTACACACTGTTATATTCAATGGGCTTCTTAGTTTACCACATAAGGACTGGCACCTTTTTCAAAAGAATATTGCTAACAGGGTTAAATGAGTGCTAATGGCTGAACGTTTGCCAAATGCTTACATCTGTGATAGTATAAATCTGGATTATTAAAGTTGTCTACTCAAGTATAAAATATATGCAAAACTCTCATAATATAGGCAAAATGTTCAAAAGCCGGGAAAAACCTTTTTGTTTGTTTTTTTAACTTTTACAAGAAAGTGCAACTGCAGGCTCTCTTGAATGATCTAGACAGTTCTGCAGAAAACTTAGCAGTTGGGCTCAGAAAGTAGAGTTCCTCAGGAGGAATTAAAGTTCTTCCTAGAATACAAAGGGACATTTCAGGCAGCTTTCTGAAAGTAAACCATTCGCTTATGACTACACAGTGAGAAACTGGAATGTGTAATAATGAAGGCTTTCGCATTTGTCATAATGTGCTTTTTTTCTCTTACCCCAGGACCGCTAGCTGTTTTGTAATGTTATATAAAGTAGTAACAGCACTTTGTCCAGCACTGACAGCAGGCAGGAAACTAATCAGCTAGGAGAAAATCAGAAGTATGTTCATGTGTTTCATTGTTTTTCAGGTCAAATCTCAATACCTGCAAATAAATCATTAAAAATATGTAACAATTTCTCTGTTATTTTCAGGACTTTATGTAGTTAATGGATAATCAGAGTGAAAGAGGGCTTTCTATCAGTCATCAGTGATACATTCTGTCACACAGTCAGATTTTCAGCATTTGTTCGGCTGCTGCTAGATGATAAAGGAAGTTTTCTGTTGCTGGTGGAAATCGTTTTTGCTTTAGTGCCTCCAAATTAAGGACTCTCTTTTCTCCATCAGCCGAAACTTCTGAAAATGGTGCTAGGTTGGTAAAGATTTCTCTTGTTTTTAGAGCAATATCCTTTAATAGAACAGGAAAATATGCAACATGTTAGTATCCGAAATTTGAATATTTACTCTGTAGAATTCTTCCTGCTATTTTTTTCAGACTGTCTATAAACTATGAAAAATGAGCTCGGCATGGTGGCTCATGCCTGTAATTCCAGCACTTTGGGAGACCGTGGCAGGAGGATGGCTTGAGCCAGAAGTTAGAGGCTGCAGTGAGCCATGATTGCACCACTGCACTCCAGCCTGGACAACCCTGTCTCCAAAATGAACAACAAAAAAGGTAACTCCTTTTTTTGTTGTTTTGGAGACAGGGTCTTGCTCTGTTACTCAGGTTGGAGTGCAGCGGTGCAATCATGGCTCACTGCAGCCTCGACTTCCCAGGCTCAACTGATCTACCCACCTCAGCCTCCTGAGTAGCTAGGACTACAGGCTTGCGCCACCACACCCAGCTAATTTTTTAATACTTTTTGTAGAGATGGGGTTTTACCATGTTGCCCAGGCTGGTCTCAAACCCCTGGGCTCAAGCGATCTGCCCACCTCAGCCTCCCAAACTGCTGGGATTATAGATCTGAGCCATTGCACCTGGCCTGATAATTCTTTTTAAAGAAAAAAATTAGGAAAAATGAAACAAATTAACTTAGAAAAATCATATTTTTATTATTTGTTTTTTTACCATTTTAGCCATTTTCTGAGTGTATAATTCAGTGGCATTAAGTACATTTGCAACGATGCACAACCATCATCCGTATTTCCAGCACTTTTCACCATCACAAACAGAAACTCTGTACCCATTAAATAACCGCATTTCCCCTCGCTTAGCCCTGGTAACCTCTGCTTTCTAACTCTGTGAATTTGTCTGCTTTAGATAGCTCATATACGTGGAATCATACAACGTTTACCCTTCAGTGTCTGGCTTACTTCATTAGCATGTTTTCAAGGTTCATCCATGTTATAGCATGTATCAGAATTCTATTCCTTTTTTCGCCCCCCAACAAAAACCACATTCAAAACATTCCATTCCTTTTTCAGCTGAGTAATATTCTACTGTATATAAAGACTACATTTTGTTTGCCCAGTCATCTGCTGAAGGACACTAGGTTGCTTCTGCCACCTTTTAAAGGCTACTGTGAGTAACACTGCTATGGATATTTCCATACAAGTACAGTCATGCACGACATAATGACGTTTTGGTCAACCAGGGACCACATATACAATGGTAGTCTCATAAGATGATAATGCTATATTTTTACTGTATTGTTTCTTTTTCTTTTTCTTTCTTTTTTTTTTTTTTTGAGATGGAGTTTCGCTCTTGTTGCCCAGCCTGGAGTGCAATGGCACAATCTCGGCTCACTGCAACCCCCCACCTCCCGGGTTCAAGCAATTCTCCTGTCTTGGCTTCCCAAGTAGCTGGGATTACAGGTGCCCACTACCACACCCGGCTAAGTTTTGTATTTTTGGTAGAGACAGGGTTTTGCCATGTTGGCCAGGCTGGTCTCGAACTCCTGACCTCAGGTGATCCACCCACCTCGGCCTCCCGAAGTGCTGGGATTACATGCATGAGCCATCAGGCCCGGCCAAGTCCCTGCTTTCAATTATTTTGGGTATATACCCAGCAACAGCATTGCCAAATCATATGGTAACTCGATGTTTAACTTTTTGAGAAATGCTGCTACTGTTTTTTGAAGGAATCTCTTCCCAAAAGTCCTTGTCTGCCTGGGATAAGTAACCCAGCACCTGCCACGCAGGCTTTATTCCTTTTGGGTGGCTGAGGACTCACTAAAGCGCTCATTAAAATCATGTCTTCTGGCCAGGCATGGTGGGTCATGCCTGTAATCCCAGCACTTTGGGAGGCCGAGGCGGGCGGAGCACTGGCTCCAGTCAGGAGTTCAAGATCAGCCTGGTCAACGTGGTGAAACCCCATCTCTATTAGAAATACAAGATTAGTCACGTGCGGTGCCAGGCACCTGTAATCCTGGTGCCTGCTACTTGGGAGGCTGAGGCAGGAGAATCATTTGAACCTGCGTGGTGGAGGCTGCAGTGAGCCAAGATTGCACCACTGCACTCCACCCTGGGTGACAGTGAAACTCAATGAAGAAAAAAAGTAAAAAAATCATGTCTTCTTTCTTGTTTGCTGACATCATTAATTCATGCATATATTTTTGAACCCTCACAGCATTCCCAGCACTTTCACTTGCCCTCCCCAAGGTCACATATATTATACTAAGTCATCTAGGTAGCACTTTTAGTCTGTGAACAACACAGTAATGCAAAACTCAAGTTCACATATGTTGCCGATATTGTAAGAGTATGTCTTTAATGCTGGGGGTTAGGTGGGCAGTGAGGATTCACATGGTAGGAAGGCAGCAGCCCCAGAGTCTCCAGTGTTCAGGTCCTCAGGGCAAGATCAGCCCACTCTTCCTGCTCACAGCTGGCCAGGCCATCAGCACGGCAGAGAAATGGCCCCTCTCATCTTTCTGCTGACATGTCACCTCCTTAGAGAGCTGGCCTACCCCTCCCCCAGTATTCTCCACCTCAACCCCTTCTGTCACAGCACCTATCATGGGTTGTAATTATCTTGTCATTCATTATTTTCTGTGCATCTACTCCACTGAAGTACAGGCTCCATGAGGGCAGGGATTTGCTCACCACTGCATCCCCACTGCCAGTGCAATGCCTGACAAACAGAGCTCAAGAAACACTGAATAAATGAATGGATAAATGGAGAAGGCGCCAGGTTGGGCCGAATGAGTATAGCCTGCATATCAGAGGTGCCCCTGTGCCCCCAGGGAGGACAGGTGCAGACAGAGACAGTCCTTTTGGGCCCTCCAGCCCCAGGTTATGAGTCAGGCATCTAGATGAGGCAACACTGGAAGTTTATCCTTCAGGAGAGGAGCAAGGAGCTGGGAACAGGCCAAATGCAAGGATGCAGGCCACTATGTAGAAAGTACAAGAAATAAAACCCATTTGCCATTCCAGTTGGGCAAGGGCAGAGCAGGTGTCCACTGGTCCACATGGACTCTGGTCCACGTGCCAGGTAGACCCCAGCAAGGAGCTGGCTCTGTGGCATGTGGCAACAGTCACTAAGTGGGACAGGAGTCTGACTGCATTTCTGTTGTCCTGGAGACACGCAAAGCCAAATTTTGACAATCTATCTAGTTCCCCATGTTCAGCAACAACCTCCCCTTTATAATTTGTTCCTCCAGGGAAATTCTCCTAGGAAGAAAGAACGCACTGGCTGGCCCAGAAAAGCCTTCCAGACCACTCGGGAGTTACATTTCTGTTTGCCAACGGTCGGCGTCAGCACCAGCCCCAGTGTATACCTGCCCTCGAGCCCGGTAACTAACTAGATCAGGCCAGCCTGCACCTGCTTGTCCATCATCGCTGTGGCCATCTGCAAACCCTCCTCTAAGCACCTGCCCGCTGGCCTCTCCCACAGCCCCCCACTCTGCTGATGTGCACACCACCCAGCGGCACCGGGTCAGGACTTCCAGTAAGTCAGAAGGTGAGGGAGTTACCTGTATCACCTGGCTGTCTGATTTCTCTGGATCTTCTGCAGACTGAACAATTAGCTGACCCATTTCTTTGTGCAGTTTGCCCATTGCCATGGCCTCTGGTGAGATCAAGAAGGTGAATATTTAGAAATTGACATAATAAAAACTAATCATGCCACCTATCTGAAAACTTGAAAGACCACACTGAGGAAATTTTCAAACAGCAGCTGACAACCTCCCACATGTCCATTTTTTCACTAGCCACAAATATGACAACATGCTGGGAGGAAAGGCATAATATAATCGTGATTTATACTTCTTGGCCAACATAAAAACACATCACACCAAACCAGATTTCCCCTTCACACCCACCTGACCAGAACTTTTATTTTTCTTCCCAAAGCATAATGAACAATTCTGACTACAACTAAATTGTGACTATAAGCCAAGAGCCTGACCTTCTAGTCCAGCTCTTTTCAGTTAAGAAATTTCTCTTTTTGGTGGGAATATTGTGAAAGAGGAGTTTCCTGTCAGTTCTGCAGAAGACAGCTGGGCACTCAATTCGTTTAGGTTCTTAGAAATGAGCAAAGGAAGCCACCTAAGTTAGCTTGGTTACAAACACTGCTACTGTCTGCACTGAGGAGGTTAACTGAAACTTGTTTGTCACTTCAAGAGACAAACTCCATTCAAACGGTGCTGATTAGGATGAGCCCATTTTATAGAAACAGAGCAACACAGGGCAGCAGGGAGATGGCCACTCTTTCTGGTCCTAACGCTTCAGCTGCTTAAGTGGCCCGGGCCACAGCCAGTTTTCTTTCACTTTCGCTTTGCAAAAGGCAGTTATTTCCTAAAGATCTGAACCCACAGTTTGAATTTTTCACCATGAGTGTGCATTATGTTTGCAATTTTACAATGAATTAAAGGAAAGTCAGTTATGGTTCTATTAATTTGAAGTTGTTCAATAAAACCTCACATAATTGAATCTAACAATTCCCAATTCAATTCCCAATCAGTCAGCATTCAGCTGTCCCCACTTTTAGGAGAAAGATAAGTGACAAAACAAAGCTGTTAGCAGTAATCCCATCTAAAACCACTACCTGAGTAGTGCTCTGGGCTCAACACACATTGAAGCCAATCTTTTCTACTTTATGTAGCTGTAATTTGGGACAATTTAAAATGTCTAAGAATGCCACTCTAACACTAGTACACCCTTTCCTGATCCTTAGCTCTAAGAACAGTTTCA